CGCAGCGCCGGGACGCGGCACGCAGTCTGGGCGCTGGCCGCGGTGTGTTTTCTGCAGAGTCTGGTCCTGCCGGTGCCGCCGGATCTGCTTCTCATCCCCATGGTGCTGGCGCGGCGCGCCAAGGCATGGTTTTTCGCCACCGTCTCCACCCTGTCATCGACAGCCGGCGGCCTCGTCGGGTACGCCATCGGCTATTTTCTCTATGAAGCAGTGGGCGAGCCACTGCTCGGTCTGTGGGGCTATGAAGGCAAGATCGAGGTATTCGAGGCGTACCGGGAGGAATGGGGCGCATGGATCGTCGTTGCCGGCGCTCTCACCCCTCTTCCGTACAAGCTCGTTGCCGTCGCGTGCGGCGCCGCCCGCCTCGACATCGGCGTTTTCATCCTGGCATCCCTGCTCTCCCGTGGCCTGCGCTTCTACGTCGAGGCCGCGCTCCTCTGGTACTTCGGCCCCAGGGCGCGGGTGCTAATCGAGCGTCACCTGGGCGCAGCCACGGTGATCGGTTTGATCCTTGTGGCCGGCGTCTTCCTGCTGGTCCGCTTCCTCAACTAGGGAAACCTTGGTCGATTGGCGCCCTTCGACTTCGCTTCGCGAAGCCTGTCCTGAGCCTTGTCGAAGGGCTCAGGACGAACGGCAGGAGTTTCCACCGTTCGTCCCAAGCGTAGCCGCGCGCTAGCTAGGCGACGTCGAAGAGCGAGTCATGTCAGTTCGATGATCGGATCATCAAAATGGCACGATGGACGCCGCTACGATCCGACATGGCTGGAACCCGCACAACACACCGGCGCCTACCTGTCGCGCAACGGGCAGCGGCTACTCACCGTTACCCAGGATGTGGTGAAGATTCCTCAAGGCGTGCTCGACGGGCAGAACGGTGATGTCGTCCATGTAAACAGGACTCGGTCCACCGTAGAAGACGAAACATTTGGCCGGAGGATAGTCCCTCTTGAATTCCCGGAGTGCCCTTGTGTCCTTGGGCTGGATCTGGGCCGAGCGCTTGATTTCGATGGCCAGCAGGCCGCGCGGCCCGTACAGAACGAAATCGACTTCCAGGCTGCTTCGGGTGCGCCAGAAAAAGATCTGGTAGCCGTATTCGTAGTAGTCGTTCACGGCCCTCAGTTCCTGAAGCACGAGTGTCGCTAGGGCGGGACCGTCTATCTCGGCGTCGGAATCCAGCGGCCCCACCGGCCGGATCGCACGAAACACGCCAGCGTCGAAAAAATAGAACTTCTTTTGCGAGATGAGCTTGCGTTTGGCCTTGCGGGAGAACACCGGCAGGCGGACGGCGATGAGCAGGTCTTCCAGAATGGCGAAATAGTTTTCCGCGACTGACCGCTCAATGTGTGCCTCTCGGGCTACGGCACTGATATTGATGGTGACCCCTTGGGAAAAGCTCGCCACCTCCAGAAAATGCGAGAAATGGCCGATGTTGCGCGTCAGGCTCTCCTGCATGACCTCTTCTCGCAGGTATGTCTGCACATAGTCCTTGAGGTATTTGGCGGGATCGCTCTCGCTGAATCGCGCGGGCAGATGGCCTATTGGACGGAGTCGCGCAGGTTGAAGGCATCCTGCTGTTCCACGGCCGTCAGAGGGTGCATGCGATAGGTCAAGGCACGGCCGGCCAGCAGATTGACCTCCCTTCGTCGAAGAGTCCTGGCACTGGACCCGGTCAGGACAAATACCAGTCCGCGGGCTTCGATCAGGTCATGGACCTCGTTCAGCAACGCGGGTATGCGCTGGACCTCGTCGATGACGGTCCAGCCGGTGTGGTCCGGGGGAATGAGTTGCCGGAGGTGCCCGGGATTTGCGGACAGACGATTGTAGTACTCGGACTGCAGCAAGTTGACGAAGAGCGCATCGGGAAGCCGGTGCCTCAACCACGTGGTCTTGCCCGTGCCCCTGGGGCCGAAGAGGAAAAAGCTCTTGCGTGATTCCAGGGGTTTCTTGATGAGTCGCTCGAACACAGTCATCCAACTCCGCCGCTTTGCACACTACTATAGGCTAAAATGACGCAGAATGCAGTTGGAAACTCAAAAAATCCCGCCGAATTTAAGTTATCAAACGCAAATTGCTGTCGTTTGAGGTGTTTGCGGACGGGATTGCACACCGTCAGGATGACGATGCATCGTCCGGATGTCCGGCCGGACCGCCGAATGCCTTGTCCACCGCCCGCCGTACGCCGGTCTTGGCGCCGGCCGGCAGGTAAGTGCCGTGCGCGGCGATGAGGGCATCGAATTCCAGCTCCAGCAGGCGGTGGAATTCGCCGCGCAACGACCCGCCCGCGGGCAACATCATCTTCAGCCAGAAAGGGCCCAGGACGGTAGTCTTGGGGAAGCCAATGAAGGGCATGGCCAGGCGCGCCATGAGGTTGTTGTGGGTGTAGTCGCCGTAGTGCTGACGGCGTCGCAGGTCACCAGGATACCGGGGGAGTCGTGAATGAGCAGCGCGGCCTCCGGTTGCGTGGTGCCGTTGAAGCAGAAGAGGTCCGCATCCGGGAACGGCAGCACAGTGCCTGCCTCCAGCGGGTGATCCAGGGGCGGCTCGGGATAGGTGGTGCCGCCGGGCTGACCCCAGAGTTCAACTCCCTCGAACCGGTGCTTGTACCAGGGGTCATCAATGCCGTGGAAGGCACCGAGGCGGAGAATGCGCTTCACCATGCCGAGTTCCCGTAGAGCGTTTTCGCCATCGGCGTCGAGGCGTATGGGATTCACCAGGGTGAGATCGTCGCCGTGCCGGATGATCACCATGTTGCGGCTGATGCGCAACACGGGATTCATGCGCATGGCCCCGCGGACGACGTACAAGCGTTCCGTCAAGGCCTGGATCGGGCCGTGGGGTTGGGCCGGGGGGAACGTGGTCATGGGGTTGGTTCCGTGTTGCAATGACGAGACCAACGGGGATGAGGCTTCCAAAAGCCGTTCGTCCTGAGCCCTTCGACAAGGCTCAGGACAGGCTTCGCGGAGCGGAGTCGAAGGACGCCATTCCGACGATGGCGAATGATCAGCGTCCCTAGTGTGGTGTCTCACAAATACGCTTACGAATCTGCGGGTCCTTTTGGCCGTCGGCTGCGTTGCTCTTCCTCGCGTGGTATTGGCCACACGGGCGGGTTTGAAACCCGCCCCTACTCGTCCTGAGCCCTTCGACAAGGCTCAGGACAGGCTTAGCGCAGCGAAGTCGAAGGACGCCTTGCCGACACCCAAAATGCCCTCGCAGCTTCATAAGCGTATTTGTGAGACACCACACTATTCTCCGCCACGGTCATGCGCGAGATCTTGACGGTGGGGGGCGGCAATGGAGCTTTGCGGGCGGAGGTCGTTGCCGACCATCTCGATCTGGTTCAGCATGTCGTTGAGGTTGCCGGCGATGGTCAGCTCGGCCACGGGAAAGGCCAGCTCGCCCTTCTCTATCCACATCCCGCCGCGCCCCTCGAATAGTCGCCGGTGACGAGGTTGACGCCGAAGCCCATCAACTCGGTGACGTAGAACCCGTCCTCCACCGAGCCGATGATATCCTGGAGGCTGTGCTCGCCGGGCATGAGGTAGAGGTTCATGGGCGAAACCGCCGAGGCCTGGCCCGCGCCCCGGGCGGCATTTCCAGGTGGACTTGCCGCCGAGCTTCGGGCGCTGTAGGCGTCCAGCAGATAGCTCCTCAGGACACCGGCCTCGACACGTCCTTGCGCCGGACGCCGACGCCCTCGGAATCGAACGGCCGCGACCCCAGGGCGAGGGAATCGTGCCGTCATCGACGATGTGGACGAGGTCGGAAGCCAGACGCTGCCCGAGTCTGTCGCACAGAAAGACGCGCGCTGATAGAGAGGCGTAACCGGAAACGGCCTACTCACGTGTCGCACCAGGGTCCCCGCGACGGCTGTCGTCGAAGACCACCGGCACCTCCGGGTCCGCACCTTTGCGGGCGCCCAGCGGCGGATCACGCGGCGGCCGGCCTCGCGCCCACTGCTTCCGGGGAATCCAGCGCGTCATGCCGGCGCGCCGCGGAGAACCAGTGGTCGCGCTCCATGGAACCGTTGGACGCCGCCACCGGAGCCACGGAGAGGTGAAAGGTAGAGGCGGCATACTCGCCGGCAAAGGCCCTCCGAATTGGCGTATGATGAGCCGGTGAAACGAGTTGCCGAACTCCGCGCCCTCGGAGTTCGTATCCGCTCGTCGTATTGCAGCGCGTGGTCCTCCGCCAGGCGGGCGGCGTCGATGCCGTGCTCGACGTTCAGGCCTCGGGCCTCCTCGTCCAGCAGGTCCAGCTCCGGCACCTCGGCGGCCAGCTCCCCGGGTTCCGGCAGCCGCCGAACTCGTCCTTGGCCGTGGCCCGGGCCATGGCGCAGGGTCTGGTCCAGCAATCGTCCAGGGAGGCCCGTGACATGTCGGAGGTGGAGGTGGCGGCGGAGCTCCGGCCAAAGAAAAGCCGCAGACCCGAGCCGGGTCTCGTGGGCCTGCTGACGGTCTCCACCTTCCCGAGCCGCACCTTCACCCCGACGCCCTCGTGCTCCACCACGGTCACGTCGCCCTGCGACGCGCCCCTTCGCCTTCGCCCGGCGATCAGCCCCCGACGCCAGCTCCCGATCTATCGGCAAAACGCTCCATCGCCGCCTCAACCCTGGCCGGGACCGCGCACGGCGGTACCGCCCACCACGAGCTGATCCACTCGGATGGTGGGAAGCCCGACCCCCCACCGGCACTCCCTGGCCGTCCTTGCCACAGGTGCCGATGCCCTTGTCCAGTGCCAGGTTCCGCCCCCACCCGGCTGACGCGCGTGAGCACGTCGGGCCCGTTGCCGATGAGGGTGGCGGCGTCCCGCACCGGATGCGTGACCCGGCCGTCCTCGATCCGTGTACGCCTCGCTGGCGGAGAAAACGAACTTGCCGTTGGTGATGTCCACCTGCCCGCCGCCGAAGGACACCGCGTAGAGGCCGTCCTTTACCGACCGGATGATGTCTGCGGGTCCTCCTCTCCGGCCAGCATGAAGGTGTTGGTCATGCGCGGCATGGGTCACATGGGCGTAGCTCTCGCGGCGGCCGTTGCGGTGAGCTCCATGCCCAGCAGGGAGGCATTCAACCGGTCGTGCATGTAGCCTCGGAGAATGCCGTCTTCGATCAGCACCGTGCGCTGGGTCGGCGTGCCCTCGTCATCCACGTTGAGAGAGCCTCGCCGCCGGGGGATGGTGCCGTCGTCCACCACCGTGCAGAGCTCGGTGGCCACGCGCTCGCCGATGCGCCCCGAGAAGGCCGAGGTCTTGCGGCGGTTGAAGTCCGCCTCCAGCCCGTGTCCGATGGCCTCATGAAGCAGGATGCCGGGCCAGCCGGGCCCGAGTGACCACGTCCATGGTGCCCGCGGGGTCGCCACCGCCCTCGAGGTTCACGAGAGCCTGTCGGACCGCCTCCCGGGCATGGGCTTTCGCACTGCTCCGCATCGGTTGCAGTCGTCCAGAGACATGCGCCCGCCCCATCCGAAGTGGCCGGCCTGACGCTTGCCGTCGGCTCGACGATGCAGCGGATGGTCGCAGCGCACCAGGGCTGAAGGTCCCCCAGCACCCAACCCTGAGAGGAGGCAATGAGGATGACCTTGTTCTCCAGCGACAGCGAGGCGAACACCCCCTTCACCCGGGGATCGGCCTTTCGGGCAAACCGGTCCAGGTCCTCCAACAGACCGATCTTGCGCTCCAGGGGCACCTCCGAGAAGGAGCGGGGCACCGGATAGAGGTCGTGCCGCGGGGCGGCGGGGACGGGAATACGCGCCGGTGAATCCGTACCCCGGTCGTGGGCGATGACGTTGGCCGTCCTCACCGCCGAATCGAGGTTCTGGATGGTCACGTCATCGGTGAAGGCGTATCCGGTCTTGTCTTCGGCCAGCACCCGCGCGCCGACACCGTTGGCGGTGGAGACCGACGCATGCTTGACCAGACCCTCTTCGAGACGGACCTGCTCGTGGGTCCGGTACTCGAAAAAGAGGTCGGCGTAGTCGGCCTGCCGGGCCATCGCCCGGCCCAGGACCTGGTCCAGATCCCGCGCCGTGACGCCGAACTGCTCGTCGAAGAACGCCGCCGGCGAGAAAGCGGCCCGATTCGCAAGGCTCTTGTCCAAAACGCTCCCCTTTTCTTACGTCAGACTTGCTTGTATGCTATGGCAGAGCCGTTGCGTGGCCGCTCCGCTCCCCGCCAGCATAGAAACAGTGTACCGGCAACGCATGGAACATGAAAGGACGCGGCATGCGCCCGGCGGCAGTTCCGAGGAGTTGAACCGATGGACCAGAAGATCGTTCACGTTGTCGGTACCGGTACCATAGGTGAGCCGCTCATCGGCATCCTGGCGACCTTCCGGGAAGCCTTCGGCATCGATGAAGTGACGTTCAACAAGCAGACCCCGCGGATCACCGACCGCTCCAAGGTCACCGCGCTCCGGGGCAAGGGCGCCCGGTTGAGCGTCCCGAAGGATCGCTGGGACGAGTTCGCCAAGATGGGCATGGAACCCTCCTTCGACGCGGAAGCGGGCATCGAGCGGGCCTCCGTGGTCATCGACTGCACCCCGGTCGGGAACCAGAACAAAGAGAAGTACTACCAGCACTATGCCGGCGAGAATGGCAAGGGGTTCATCGCCCAGGGCAGCGAGTTCGGGTTCGGCAAGATGTACGCCCGGGGCATCAACGACGACGCCCTCGAAAGAGAAGAAGACCGCTTCGTTCAGGTGGTGAGCTGCAATACCCACAACCTGGCGGTGCTCATCGATACCCTCGCCCTGGGGCCGGAGAAGGAAGACAACCTCGAGGCCGGAAGGTTCGTCTGCATGCGGCGGGCCAACGACATCAGCCAGGAGGGGACTTCATTCCCGCTCCCGAGGTGGGACGGCACGACGACGACAGGTTCGGCACCCACCAGGGGCGCGACGCCTACTACCTGTTCAAGTCCCTGGGCTTGGACCTCGACATCTATTCGTCCGCGCTCAAGATCAACACCCAGTACATGCACACGATCCACTTCAACCTGATCCTCAAGCGCGCCATCGACATGGAGCAGATCATGCAGCGGATCCGGTCGAACCGCCGCATCGCCGTCACCAACAAGAGTTCGTCGGCGGCGGTGTTCTCCTTCGGGCGCGACCACGGCCTGTTCGGACGCATCCTGAACCACACGGCCGTCGTCACCCAGAGCCTGGCGTTGCGGGGTGACCGCGAGGTGGTGGGCATGTGCTTCACCTCCCAGGACGGGAACTCGCTCCTGAGCAGCATCGCGGCCACCCTCTGGCTGCTCAATCCGGACACGTACGACGAGCGCCTGCAGCCCATCCGGCCCTACTTTTTCAGGGAGATCTGACCCTCAACCCTTTCAGGAGCCTGTATCGGGCGGCGGCGCCGTACGGGCTCGGGCGGGTTTGAAACCCGCCCCTACATGGTCATTGACCTGCGGCGCATGCTCCTAAGGGACTCGTTTGAAGCGGACCCTGTCCCCGACTGCGATGCGGTTTCGGCGCGCCATGCCGGCTCGGACCTCCAGCGCGTACTGACTGGGGACCCTCACGCTCACGGAACGGGTGGAGAACGGCACGGTGTCGTGGATAATCCCAACCACCCGCCGGCGCCGGTCCATGAAGATGATGTCCAGGGACAAGGGGGTATTCTTCATCCAGAACGACTGAACCTTCTCGTCGGGAAACACGAACAGCATGCCCTCGTCCGTTCCCAGCTCGCGCCGGTACATCAATCCCCAGCGCCGCTTCTCGGCGGTGTCGGCCACCTCCACGCTGAACGTGGCCTTGATTCCCTCGGAGCCCTCGAACACGACGGCCGGGCCATGCTTGCAGGCGGCTGGGCCGCCAACAAAAACACGCACCCCAGCAGAAGAAACCGGCGCATTCTACTCCCTTGTGCTTTCAAGAGGCCAGCCACTCGCCGCTCCACAACCGGGTGAGGAACTCACGCCACGGCAGGATATCGATGCCGTCCACCCGGCGGGCCATGGGCTCCAGTGATACAAGCACGTAGTGTGAGAGCCTGTTCTCTTCACGAAGTGCCCGCAGCCCCCTCAGATCCCGGTGCGATACTGCCTTTTTCGCTTTCACTTCAACGGCGAGCTCGCCGACCACGAAATCTACTTCGAACTGAGACTTTGAACGCCAGTACCTGGGCGGGTCGAGCAGGTGGTAGTCGCAGAACCCCTTGATTTCCTGCAATACGAAGCTCTCGAACGCCTCGCCATACTCGGCTGTGCCCAAGGGCAGACCGCGGCGTCCCTGCAGATGACGCGCCAGGCCAATGTCGAACAGATAGTACTTGGAGGTCGAGACCGCCTTGCGTTTGCGGGTTTCGGTATACGCGGGCACCTGATGCGCGATGAACGTGTCCTCAAGGATCCCATAGTACTCTCGCACCGTGGACGCGGGCACCTGGGCATCACTCGCAATCTGCGAGAAATTGATCATCCGGCCGTGTGACAGCGCCGCTACTTCCAGAAATCGACTGAATGCGCCGATATTTCGGACCAGGGCCTCTGCCGCCACCTCCTGCTTGAGGTAGTCTCCCGAGTAGGCAGCAAGGTCTTCCGCCGGCGCGTCGGAAAAATAGACCGACGGCAGCAAGCCGAATTCGAGCGCCCTTTCCAAACGGAAATGGTCGCCGAGCTCGGCACTGACAAACGGATGCAGCACGCGCGAACGGGCCCGGCCGCCGAGCAGATTGACCCCCTTGCGCCGTAACGTGCGCGCACTCGACCCCGTCAGAAAGAATCGAACACCGTGCTCTTCGATCATGAGTTGGACTTCGTTCAACAGGGCCGGCATCTTTTGAATTTCGTCGATCACGATGATTTCTGTTTGTGGCGCGAGCGCCTCTCTGATCAGCGCCGGGTTTCTGGAGAGACGGATGAAGAGCGTCTGATCGAGCAGGTTGTACGTACGGACGTCCGCAAGCTGGTGACGGACTAGTGTGGATTTTCCCGTCTGCCGTGGGCCGAAGAGGAAACAGGACCTCTGTTTCAGAAGCTCTCTGGCGTCGAGATAACGTGCAATGATTGGAGGCGTCATTCTCATGCCAATCAACAAGTAAGCTGCTGGATATCATGACAAACAGCAACCTAGTTGTCAATTTAACCCGAGTTGCAGCTCTCCGTTCGGTCGGTGGGGAGCCAGAACATTAGCGGCATGAAGGCATTTCAGCTAGAATAACCGGCTGGAAATTGAAACGGTTTCTTCGGTCGCACAACACCTTCCACAACACAAGCCATGATCCAACCTTCGTACCGAGAGTTCGCGGCGCTCGCCAAACAGGGAAACATGGTCCCGGTGTACGAGGAGATCCTGATGGATCTCGAGACCCCGGTGTCCTTCTACAACCGTCTCAAGAAGAGCCGCCACTCGTTCCTGCTGGAGAGCGTGGAGGGCAGCGAGCGCTGGGCTCGCTATTCGTTCCTGGGCACCGCGCCGGAGCTGATCTTCAAGGCCTGGGGCCACGAGGTGGAAATCACCCGAGGCCGGAAGAAGGAGTCGCGGACCTGCGACGATCCGTTGAAGGCGCTGGCCGAGATCCTCGACGGGTACCAGCCTGCCACCACCATTCCGGATCTCCCCTTCACCGGCGGCGCCCTGGGTTACGTGGCCTACGACGCGGTGGAGATGCTGCACGGGGTCCCCAACACCGCGGAACGGGCCAGCCGCTTTCCGGACATCTATTTCCTGCTGGTGCGCACGCTGGTGAGCTTCGACAACCTCAAGCACACCATCACCATCATCGACAACGTGCCCATCGAAAAGGGCGCGCGGCTGCGGGTTCTCTACGGCGACGCCGTCTCCCGCATCGAGAAGCTGCGGTCTTCCCTGCGAAAAACGCCCAAGAGCCTGGAGGCCCGAAGCCTCACCGGGTCCGGAACACCCGTCAAGTACCGCTCCAACGTCAAGCCGGAGGTATTTCACGGCATGGTGCGCAAGGGCAAGGAGTACATCGCAGCGGGCGATGTCATCCAGGTGGTGCTGTCCCAGCGGCTGGAGGCCCGGACCCGGGCCGAACCGTTCGAGATCTACCGCGCCCTGCGATTCACCAATCCGTCTCCCTACATGTTCTTTCTGGAGCTGGACGACCTCAAGATCGTCGGCTCCTCCCCGGAGATCCTCGTCCGGCTCACCGGCCGGAACATCGAGTTGCGGCCCATCGCCGGCACCCGGCCCCGCGGCAAGGACCCGCGGGAGGATCGGGAGCTGGAAGAGGACCTTCTGGCGGACCCGAAAGAGCGGGCCGAACACATCATGCTGGTGGATCTCGGGCGCAACGACGTGGGAAGGGTGGCGGAGGTGGGCTCGGTGGAGGTGGACCAGCTCATGGGCATCGAGCGCTATTCCCACGTCATGCACATCGTCTCGAACATCAAGGCGGAGCTGGCCCGGGGAAAGACGCCTCTGGAGCTGTTCGGCTCCTGCTTTCCCGCGGGGACGGTCTCCGGTGCGCCCAAGGTGAGGGCCATGCAGATCATCAGCGAACTGGAGCCGCAAAGGCGGGGTCTGTACGCCGGAGCCGTGGGCTACCTGAGCTTCAACAACAACCTGGACACCTGCATCGCCATCCGCACCATCACGGTTCACAACGGCACCGCGGTCATTCAGGCCGGAGCCGGCATCGTGGCCGATTCCGACCCCCACGCGGAGTACGAGGAGACCCTCAACAAGGCCCGGGGCATGCTCAAGGCCATCGAGCTGGCGGAGTCATGGAGGACCGGACACTGACATGATCCTGCTCATCGACAACTACGACTCGTTCACCTACAACCTCTACCACTATCTCGCCGAGCTCGGCGCGGAGGTCCGGGTGGCGCTCAACGACCGGATCAGCGCCGACAGCGTCGAAGCGCTCGGGCCGGACGCCATCGTGGTGTCGCCGGGCCCCTGCACGCCCAAGGAGGCCGGTGTCTCCTGCGAGGTGATCCAGCGGTTCGGCCAGCGAATTCCCATCCTGGGCGTGTGTCTGGGCCATCAGTGCATCGGCGCCGCCTACGGCGCTCGGGTGGTGCGCGCCGCCGAGATCATGCACGGCAAGATGTCGAGGTGCTGCACGACTCCAGGACCATCTACCGGTCCCAGGAGAATCCCTTCCCGGCCATGCGCTAACCATTCCTGGTCATCGACCCGGACACCTGCCGACGAGCTCAACCGTCACCCGCCCCGACCAAGACGGTGTGACATGGGCATCCGCCACATCCCGCCACCCGGTGGAAGTTGGCGCAGTTTTTCCTTCCCGATTCCATCCTGACCGATACCGGGGAAGACGCTGCTGAGGATTTTTTGGACGCTACGGTAGGGGCCCGCGAAAGCCGTCGCCTTCCCTGCCCACAAAGATTTGGCCGCCCTGGCTTCACCCACTGTCCGCCAAAGTTGGAAGTATGTTCTTCAGAAGGAGGAACGGGAGCCTGCGGGAAAGTCGATTCCATCTTTTTTCAAGGACTGGACTAGTTTTGGTTTGATGTGCTCTACGACAATGTAATCAGTCCTTAGAGACTTCTGTATTGCCGCCTTCACGTCAGCCTCATAGTACCGCCTGATCCGGCCTTCAGTGCTAATGGCCGTAGCTAATTCCGCTATCTTCGCGACTGTTAACTCAACTAGATCCAGATGCCAGTCGTGGACCTCGGAGTCAGGTGTTCTCGCCGGAACCATCGCGTGTTGGATCCCGCACGCCTCCAGAACTTTCTCTGGAGCAATTGCCAAATCTACATGGGCGAGATTGTCCCGTGTCAATGCCAACGCCGCTACCACCCTTTCCGTTTGTACGTCGGAATCTTCAAGCCTGAACACGGATAGCTTGTTTTCCTCCGTCCTCAGACATTTCGCTGCATCGGCCTGAATATCCCCTGCACCCAGCCACGGCGACCTGTCCCAGTGCCGTTTCTGGCTCAACTTCCGGAAGATTGTCGTCACGAGGGGGACTTCTCCAACGACCGGATGAGGTCCTCTAGATCTGCTTGAAGTTCGGGTAACCTTTTCTCTATCAATTCGCTGCCTGTAATTGATCATCCGCGCGGGTCAAAGAATCTTTGCGAGGCAGGCGAAGCTCAACGCTTGCAAAGCGGGGCTCCGGCGGTCGCCCCCCTGGGTTTATGGGATAAAACAGGTCTGAAGAAATTATGGGCGAGCCTCTATTTTAGTATTGCTTTGTATAGCACGCGCAAATACCTTCATGCAATGTTTCGGCGATGACGACGTGCGTGTCTTTGCATCTAATTGATTGAGGTGTTAGTTGAGGTTATCTGGGTTTGTATAGGTTTGTTTCGTCAGCCTCCGTAGAAGCAGCGAATCTACGAGGTAATATTAGGTGTTATTAAGATATGTCGTTGGTATTTTGGTACGGTGGATAATTATGTGATAGTTGATTTGGTTATAGAAGAAAATGCTCTTTTATCGTTTCCACCTGTGTAGTTTATGGAGGCCTCGTGTTGAGGCACGTTAAACATAGAAGCGATGGGCGTAGCTGGAAGACAGTTCTGTGTCTGGTTTTCTCCCCACTCCGCCGCGCCCCATGGGGGACTTAGGTTGGATTAGTGGTATTTAACGTACTACAGGCGCGCCGCTCCGAGAAGGTTCTTCTCCTAAGAGATGGAGCCTCTGCACTTCATGGTTTGAGCTAAGTAAGATATTCTTGCTTGTCTGACTACTCTTGCGTAACCAGAGGTACGAAATCTGCGCCGCCGGAGATCACAAAGAACGTGCCAGAAGTCTGGGAAAGGTAGCTCTGCTCGTCCATCACCCCGTATTAACGAATCTTTGGTTGTTTAGCGTGTGATTAATGATTGTTCTGTCTCCCCTCGTCTTGTTGCTTCTTTGTCCAGCCCACCCACCCCTCCTCTCATCGGGTAGGTCGGCCCCCGCAACATAGAGACGACGATTGTGGAGTCCCGTCGACATCAACTCAACGACAAGAGTACGAATAGCGCGCGCTTCTTGACGTTATGCCACGTAAAACCTCGGCCCAATACATCCTCGCTAGCTGGCCCGCCTCAACCTTTCTCTCAAGACTGCACCCCTGTCACTCTGGATCGCGTTCACACACCGTTGCTGAAGGCTTTGGCGAATCGACTATCATACCACCTCGACGAACTTTCTTCCGGGACAGACGAAATAAGGCTCCAGGTGTTCCTCCCTACTCCGCCCGTGTACTCGGGGGCTTGTATTGATATCGAGTTCCAGCCGGTAGATATTTCTTGAGTTCGGCAATTGGGTGACCTTCGCGACTGATGACACCAGCAACACCAATCGACAAAACAGCTTCAAGACTTCTGCCCGCGGACCAAGTCGACAACCGGTTAATTTTTAGGCCATCAATTCCGCAGCGGGACTCCCGTCGCCTGTTAATTCGATATGTGAAGTCTCGTGTATTCTTGATGTCTATCTCAACTGCCGGGAGGAGAGCGGCCAAGATCTTGTATGCGTCCAAAACGCTGTTCGCGGGGAGCAGCAGTATCGCTCCATAGGCGATTCTGTGTATGGCCGGACAACCCCGTCGACCACTTTCATCATCTTTCCGAAACCCTCTTCCGAGGCGGCATAGGAGCCAAGTGACGGAAACTCGAAAGAGGAGTTGAGCTGCTTGTGGTCGGGGAACAACCTCCAATCGAATCGGTTGCCCCGGGCCTCTACACGGAGCCGGCCATTGAGAAACGGACCCTCTTCGGTAACCAATTGCTGCGGTGGTTGAGTACGCAACTCGTCCGGCACACTTCCAACCAAACGTTCCCACGAGCGTGTCTGTAAGGGGTCGATGGGATCAACCATGAATACAGAGAGCCTCAGATTCTCTGCCTGCCAGTCCTTCAGATCGATGTCGGTCATGAATCGCTGCCTTCCGTCAGGCGCACTTGCACACGGTGGTCGGCATTCCGTGAAATAGCGAATCTCGTCTCAGGTGACAATGGTACCGTAGGAATAAACTAGTGCCCTTCACTATCATTGTGCCACAGATTTCACACCTGCTGGGCCGCGTGGGCTTGGGCGCACTCCTCGCTACAGAAATAGTGCCCGTGTGATTGATAGGCTTCGTTCTTGGGGACGTCGTAGCTCTGCAGTGGCGAGGTCGAGCACCATGGACTCGCCCCGGACGGTCGGTGTGCCACGGCTCTTTGCTTTGCGTGTGATGCTCTGAGTAGCTCAGCATCAGCACCAGATAGGCCAGCAAGCCCAGTGATGAAACCTGCGGGATCATGGCAGTGGCAAACCCGTCGATGGATCGTCCATGTCCTGCGGTCCATCTACGAGGACGCAGGACGTCAACTCATGCACCTCTCGGAGAGGCCAATTCATGGACCCGCATGTTATCCTCCACCTGGGCCAGGAGCTCCCGGATATCGCTGCCCAGGCGCGCGTGCTTCAGATCCGGCGCGATCTCGCACAGCGGAACCAGCACGAACCGCCGGCGGTGCAACTCCGGGTGCGGAATGGTCAACTCGGGTCCTTCCAAAACCATATCACCGAAAAAGAGGATGTCCAGATCAATGACCCGGTCGGCCCAGCGGAGAGGGCTGGGCCGGCGTCCCATCTGCCTTTCGAGGGCCTGACAGTGCTTCAGGAGAGCTTCCGGTTCCAGATCCGTATCGACGGCCACCACTCCGTTGACGTACCATTCCGTGCTCGCCGTGCCCCACGGTCGGTCACGAACCAGGTCGAGACCTCCCGCACCCGCGTTTGCGGCATCCGACCGATCTCCCTGACGGCGTGGCGACAGTTCTCCTCCTTGCTCCCTGATTCGAGCCCACCCCGATGTAGGCGCGTTGCGGCACGGTGGTTACAGGCTGAGCTGCTGGAGCCGCTCCACCGCCTCCCGGAGACGGTCCGCCGGCGAACACAGCGTCATCCGGATGAAACCCTCGCCGGGCTCGCCGAAACCGTTGCCGGGAGTGGTGACGATGCCGGCCTCGTCGAGGAGCCGGGCGGTAAAGTCCGTGGAGGTCCATCCCCCGGGCACCGGCAGCCAGACGTAGAAGGTCGCCTTGGGCGCCGGAAGCTCGAAGCCGGCGCGGTGGAGTCCGTCCACCACCGCGTCCCGCCTCTCCTGATACACTTCCCGAATGGGCCCCAGAAATTCCTCCGCGTGCTCGAGGGCGAGGATGGCCGCTTCCTGCACCGGCTGAAAGACTCCCGAATCGACGTTGGATTTCACCTGTGCCAGGGTCGCCACCAGCTCCGGGCAGCCCACCGCCATGGCGATGCGCCAGCCGGTCATGTTGAAGGTCTTGGACAGCGAATGGAACTCGATGGCGACTTCCTTCGCGCCCTCCACCTGCAGGATGCTCGGGGCGCGATACCCGTCGAAGCCGAGCTCCGTGTACGCGGCGTCGTGGCACAGGATGATACCGTGCCGGCGGGCGAACTCCACCGCCTCCTTGAGAAAACCCTCGTCCGCCACCGCGCCGGTGGGATTGTTGGGATAGTTGAGCCACAGCATCTTCGCCCGCTTGAGCACGTCCGCGGGGATGCTTGAAAGATCGGGCAGAAATCCGCTCTCGCGCCGCAGCGGCAGAAAGAAGACCTCGCCGCCGTTGAACTTCGTGCCGATCTCGTACACGGGATAGGCGGGGGTGGGCACCAGCACCACGTCGCCGGGATCCACGTACGCTACCGCCATGTTGGCCACGCCCTCCTTGGAGCCGATGAGCGAAACCACCTCGGTGGCGGCATCCAGCGTCACGCCGAACCGCCGCCCGTACCAGTCGGCAACCGCCTGGCGGAACTCCATCATGCCCGCGCTGCTGGGATAGCGGTGGTTGGCGGGTTTGGTCACGGTCTCTGTAAGCCTCTGGATGATTCTCCCGGGCGTGGGAATGTCGGGATCCCCGATACCCAAGTCGATCAGATCCACCCCCTTGGCCTGCGCGGCCCGTTTCTTCCGGTCAATCTCGGCGAACAGATACGGTGGCAACTCCTGGATGCGTTTGGCCTTGTTGAACATTACGACTGACTCGCTTTCCTCGGTTGGATTTCAGCCTCGCCCCAGCTCATGCACGTCGAGGCCGTATCCGAAAGGTCTCCGGATCAGAGCGACCTTACACCATTTCCCTACAGCTAGTGAAACCCTGGCTGCACACACGGCCTGGAAAGCGGGAATGACGATTTCGGGGGTCTGTGCCTCGCTGGGATGGGGTTTTGACACCAGCACTGGACGACACGATGCCGTTCCAGGCGGCTTCCTCCCTTCCTCCCCGACTCAGGGCGGTGCGCAAGCGCCGGCCCTTCCTTTTTGCTGCGGGTCCAGAGGGAGGCCCGTCCGCGCGTCCCGGCGACCGCGCCGGGTTTGTCGGAGGAAGAGTGAAGCAGGGAGAGGGCGAACGCCATGAAGAGGGAGAGAGGCCATGAGCTCTGGGAGCGCATCCGCGCGGGTGAGATTGCGCTGGCCGAACTCCCCGAGCTGAACCCATGCGGCGGCTAGTGTGGTGTCTCACAAATACGCTTATGAAGCTGCGAGGGCATTTTGGTTGTCGGCAAGGCGTCCTTCGACTTCGCTGCGCTACGCTCAGGACGAGCAGTGGCGTGTACCACGCGAGGAAGAGCAACGCAGCCGACGGCCAAAAGGACCCGCAGATTCGTAAGCGTATTTGTGAGACACCACACTAACCTGACGTTCAGAACCGGACGTTGACCCGGAAGCCGACCTGGTGTTCCGGTGCGATATCGTCGTTGGCGCTCTCGCGCCGCCGCGCCTCGACGGAGAGTTCGAACGCCCCATCTCCAGGGGCGCCGGCGGCGCGCACCAGCCGCCAGCCGAGGCTGTAGTCGCGCCTCGCGTTCGACAGGCCGACGGCGATCTCCGGCAGCGACGTGAAGCGGCCGCCGAAGGCCGCGAAGCCGTAGCGGAACCGCGTCTCCAACCGCCGCTGCCGGTCGTCCCCGTTATCGTTGGCGGCCAGTCCGGTGAGGGTGTCCCGCGACAGCAGCGCATTCATCCCGCCGCCCGCCGATCCGCCCAATGTCTGGGTGAGCGAAACTCTCGGACCCCGGTCCGACGCCGGCTGCGGGTCCCAGGAGAGCGAACCGGAAAGGCCTCGCTCCCGGAAACCGTCCGCCGCGTGGGTCAGCAACCCGCCCCGCGGAACTCCGCGGCGATCCCCCACCACGTATCCGACCAGGCCAGACCGCCGCCTATATCCACCCCGAACCCGGTCTCGGCGTCGCCGCCGTCGTGGCGCACGCCGATCTCGACGCTGGGTGTAAGGGTTGCCTCTTCCGCGAGCCTGAAAGGCCGCGATCCATCGAGACCGAAGCGCAACCGGCTAACCCCGGCCTCCTCCGCCGCCAGGCTGCCGCTACCACCGGACACCGCATCCGACGACGTCCGCACGATCATTGCGTCTGTCTTGGCCGCGAGAGTCAGCCCGTCATGGCCGCCGTCGACCAGCACGCCGCGCAGCCCCGCCGCCGCCATCCACAGGTCGAGGTCCGTCCGGATACTGGCTTGCTCCTCCGGTTCCAGCGTGAGCGAGCCTTTACCGTATCCCGCGACGCCCCATACCGAGAGCCGCTCGCTCAGCGCATGGCGCACCCAGGGGAACATCCCGGTCAGCGTCGAGGTCACCGTACCCTCGCCAGCGCCCCGGTAGTCGCCCTCGCCGAGGCTGTGCGACAACAGCAGCCCCGTCTTCAACGCGCCCTCCGTCCAGTCCGCGCCCAGCATGCCGCTCGCCACGTCGCCATCCACCGTGAGATCGCCCTCGCCGCCGGTGAAGCGCGTCACCGCGCCCCGGCCCCAGACCGAGATCAGGCCGCTGCCCTCCGTCGCCGCCGTCAGCGTGAAGGACGACCCGGTCAGCAGCTCGCGCTCCGTGATCGTGCGCGAGCCGAGGTTCTGCCGCTGCGGATCCGTCTCGCCCATCAGCCAGTCCGACAGGCTTCGACTGTGGTCCGCCACCTGCCGCCCGGCGCCGTTCTCCGGCAATCCCGCGCCGCCGATCCGCTGCCCCGCAAGGCTTGCTTCCGCGCCTGGCCTCGGCTCTGCCTCCCGCCGGGCTTCCACCGCATCCAGCACCTGCTCCGCGACCGTCCGCCCGAAGCGCGCAATCCACGCCTGCGGCATCGGGTCGACCAAGCCGGTGATCCTGACGGACACGTCGGCCACGGTCACGTCCTCGTAGCCGCCGCCGGCCACCGCATGGGTGAGCGTTACGATCTGACCGACCGCGTCGGCCGCGATGGTCACGGTGACCGTCTGCGCCGTCCGCCAGTTGTCGGCGGTGAAGGTGAGGGTCGCGGGCGAGACGGTCAAGCCGCTGCCGGACGGGACCGAAATGGTGACGGTGACGTCTGCCGTCGGTTCAACGTCCAGCTTCACGGTGTAGGTGCTGCCCGCCTCGTCGTCATCGGCGATGGTCAGCGCGGTCGGGGCGATTTCCACGCCATCGTCGTCGGCGATGGTCAGGGTGACCGCGGCCGGGGCGGCCACGCCGTCCAAAGACACCGTGCCGGTGACCGTCACCGTCTTGTCCGGCGCGAGCTCGCCGTTGTCCACCGCGGTGATGGTCACCTCGCCGCTGCTCTCCGTGGCGTTCGCGGCAAAGCTCAGCGTGACCGCTCCGGCGCCGCCGGTACCCGCCAGGACGAAGTCGCCGGCCATCGCCGGCTCCACCGCCGCGGCCGAAACCATCACCGTGAACGGCTCGCGCGACGACGGCGAGACCCTGGCCCTCACCCTGCTCACACCACCGTTCTCGTCGATCAAGGCCGGCGTCAACAGCAGCGTCACCGCCGGCGGTTCCGTGATCCCCTCGTCGTCGTCGGCGATGGTCAGGGTGACCGCGGCCGGGCCGGCGACGCCGGCCAAAGACACCGTGCCGGAAACCGTCACCGTCTTGTCCGGCGCGTCCTCGCCATTGTCAACCGCGGTGATGGTCACCTCGCCGCTGCTCTCCGTGGCCTCCGCGGCAAAGCTCAGCGTGACCGCTCCGGCGCCGCCGGTGCCAGTCAGGACGAAGTCGCCGGCCATCGCCGGCTCCACCGCCGCGGCCGAAACCGTCACCGTGAAGGCCTCCGGCGAGGCCGGCGAGACCCTGGCCGTCACCCTGCTCACGCCACCGTCCTCGTCGATCGAGGCCGGCGTCAGCAGCAGCGTCAGCGTCACCGCCGGCGGTTCCGTGACCCCCTCGTCGTCGTCGGCGATGGTCAGCGTGACCGCGGCCGGGGCGGCGACGCCGTCCAAAGACACCGAGCCGGTGACCGTTACCGTCTTGTCCGGCGCGTCCTCGCCGTTGTCAACCGCGGTGATGGTCACTCGCGCCGCTGCTCTCCGTCGCGCCCGCGGCAAAGCTCAGGGTGACCGCGCCGGCGCCGCCAGCGCCCGCCAGGACGAAGTCGCCGGCCATCGCCGGCTCCACCGCCGCGGCCATAACCGTCACCGTGAAGGCCTCGGGCGAGGCGGCGAGACCGCTGGCCGTCACCCTGCTCACGCCACCGTCCTCGTCGATCGAGGCCGGCGTCAGCAGCAGCGTCACCGCCGGCGGTTCCGTGACCCCCTCGACGTCGTCGTCGGCGATGGTCAGGGTGACCGCGGCCGGGGCGGCGACGCCGTCCAAAGACACCGTGCCGGTGACCGTTACCGTCTTGTCCGGCGCGTCCTCGCCGTTGTCAACCGCCGTGATGGTCACCGCGCCGCTGCTCTCCGTCGCGCCCGCGGCAAAGCTCAGGGTGACCGCGCCGGCGCCGCCGCGCCCGCCAGGACGAAGTCGCCGGCCATCGCCGGCTCCACCGCCGCGGCCATAACCGTCACCGTGAAGGCCTCGGGCGAGGCCGGCGAGACGCTGGCCGTCACCCGGCTCACGCCACCGTTCTCGTCGATCGAGGCCGGCGTCAGCAGCAGCGTCACCGCCGGCGGTTCCGTGACCTCCTCGTCATCGTCGGCGATGGTCAGGGTGACCGCGGCCGGGGCGGCGACGCCGTCCAAAGACACCGTGCCGGAGACCGTCACCGTCTTGTCCGGCGCGACCTCGTCGTTGTCCACCGCGGTGATGGTCACCTCGCCGCTGCTCTCCGTGGCGTCGGCGGCAAAGCTCAGGGTGACCGCTTCGACGCCGCCGGGGCCCGTCAGGACGAAGTCGCCGGCCATCGCCGGCTCCACCGCCGCGGCCGAAACCGTCACCGTGAACGGCTCGGCCACCGCGGTGTTCAGCACCGCCGTCACCCGTGCTCACGCCACCGTTCTCGTCGATCGAGGCCGGCGTCAGCAGCAGCGTCACCGCCGGCGGGGCGTCATCGTCGAGGATCGTCAATGTCACGTCCGGGGGCGCCTGCACCCCGTCCAGCGAAACGGCGCCCGAGACGGTCACCTCGCGGTCGCCGTCGAGCCGGTTGTTGTCCACCGCAGTGATGGTCGCCTCGCCGCTGCTCTCCGTGGCGTCGGCCTCGAACGTGAGCGTGACGCCGTCGGTGCCCGTCTCGCCGTCCGGACCGGTCAGGACGAAGTTCCCGGTCCCGCCGGGCGCAGCCGTCGCGGCGGCGATGGTGACCGTGAACGGCTCGCGCGCTGGCGGCGAGACCACGGCGCGCAGGGTCGCCACGCCGCCATCCTCCGTTATCGACGGCGTGGACAGCAGCAGCAGCAGCCGCGCCGCGCCCTCGTCGTCGGCGATGGTCAGCGTCTGCGCCGCGCCGAACCTATTCCCGTCGAGCACGCCGCCGATCTCAACCGTTTCGTCGCTCTCGGCGAATGTATCGTCCACGGCGACGATCTCGGCCGTGGCGCTCGAGGCATCGAACCCCTCACCCGCCGGCAGCGTCAGGGCGTCGGAGGACAGGGTGTAGTCGTCGCCCAGCGCCGCCGTGCCCGCCAATACCAGGGTGATCGTCTGTTCCTCCGCGAAGGTGGAGCCCGCGCCCGTGGACACCGTCACGGTGGCGGTGCCGCCGTTTTCCAGAATTGTGTCGGGGTTCACCGTGAGCACCAGCACCGGCGCGGCGTCGTCGTCG